GACCAAGAGGCAAGGCGGTGTCCTCTCTAAGGGGGACAGAACCTCAGAGAACTTGCGCAGATAATCTAGGTCAGCAAGAACCTAGTGTATCTTTCTTTTTCCCCTAGATCAAACACGATCTCCTTTCCCACTTCCTGTCACTTCAGAGAAATAACATCCAAGAATTCCAGTTGTTTTCCCCTTTCACAGCTGTAGTGTCACAAATTCACACCTAAACCGATGATCTTAAAAGTGGCATGACTGAATAATAATAATAATAATAATAATAATAATAATAATAATAATAATAATGGCCGAGTAAGAAAGCTCTCTGACTTTGAACTCACGTGTTCTCTTTTTCCATTTCAGGAATATAAAGAATGACTATCTCTACTCCACTAATTATAGTTTTTCCAAAAGAAAAAGACAGCTTGGGCATCCTCTTATCTCAAAAAATCCTCAAAGTGACTGATTATTTACAATAACTACATCTAAGCAGACAAATTTGCTTAGATGTAAAGACTACATCTAAGCAGCCAAATAGAAAATTCATCCTTCCTCAAAAATCCATTTTAGCATCCGAGATATTCTCTTGCCTCAGCACATACAAGTGTGGCAAGAGGTGGGCGGAAGAGCACAGAGAAAAGCTAATGCCGTTTTAAAAACCTGAATGGGATTCAAACAGCTGTAGGGATGGATGAGTAAGACAAGCCACTCCATTGAGATTTGGATTTTTTTTAAAAAAAACCTACCCAATTTGCACCCCCTAAAACCAAACACTGGGTCCAACACTATTGTGTTTGGAAATCTTATATTTCTGAGCATGCGACACACCATTTGAAAGTTCAGCATATAGCTGGAAACTATACAAAGAAAACTGCATAAAATTCTACAATGCAGAACATGCTAAATGTACCCAGCTTTAGTAAATAGATGCACAAGTACAAAAATGCAAACTATATACACATTTTGTGCTGAAAAAGCCTGTACAAAACCAACAGTTTGGCAGTGGGACAATAAACATCTCGATGGAATCAGGCATAATAGATTTGCCAATCGCAAGCTGTAGGCTGGTCACTAGTTGAATGTAGATGAATGTACAGCATTCAGTATCAAGCAAGGAAAACCAGCCTATGGGTTAGCTCTCCCATCTGCCTATGACAATTTTCAAATAGGAACAAGAAGAGCAGCACCGTTACCTATCTCTACTTTACCTATCTCTAAGTGATCAAAGCTATCTATTTTGTGGGTTCAATCCCTTCTCAAAATGACTCCCCATGTCATGTTTAGGATTCCAAAAGAAACACTAAAATATTTTTCTACAAATCCATGCTGTTTCTTACCACATTGTTGCATCTGGGAGCACCCTTTTCAATTACATAGAAAATAGCAAAGATGTGACAACTTAAATTTAGCTCACAACCCACCCACCCTCCTATCTTTTATGTGAACAGGGAGAAGAGGGACTTCCTATTTAGTATCAGCAATCTGTGAAATCCATTTGTGCATAGGGACTGGAATCAGGTATGCATCCTCAGACCACTGAGCTATACAGAACTGGATGTAAAACAAGTTCCCATTCTAAATTTCAAGAATCACTGGCAAGTCCTAGCCAAAGGAAATGCATATTCTTTTAAATGGTTTTGTGTTTGAATATGGTGAGAGGCATGAAAGCATCAGGGTTAGGGAGGGGGAGCTAAGCATAGGGCTTTTCTCCATAGCCTCTTCCCCCAAAAGAACTGGAAAAATTTGGGAAGAATGTAGTATGAAATATTAAATTTCATAATAATGGATGGAATTATTTATAGCTATTTCAAAAAAAATTCTAAAATTACTATATATACCCATGTATCAGTCAACCATGTGTAAACATCAAATATAGGTTTTGGGGTCAAAATTAGGGATTTTGATGCAACTCATGGGAAAGTTAAAGGTCATTCTGCAGAGAGAGGGGAAAGTGCCAGCACTGCCTCAGGCAGGCCAGCTGCCAAAGTTGCCATTTTCTGCTTAGGCATTTCCAAAGCAGCAATATGGCAGAAAGAGTACAAGGTGTTAAGTGATTCTCACCTTTCACAGCTCTACCCAAAGATAGGTGGTAAGATACTGCACTTAGTGACCAAAGGATAAGTCAACCCAGGATCTTTCGGTCAGTTTTTTTTTTTTTTTGCTAATCTTTCTAGACTTATGCATGAGTATGTACACTAAACAACAGGAAGACTTTTATGTAGGACAATGTACAGCAACAATGCTGCAATTCCTGTCTTGCTTTAAGGGAACGAGTACTTTATATCTGTATGACATTATGGAGTGGAAGAGACAAAAAAGTTGTCCTTGTTTTACTAATGTTGATGGTTTCTTTTGTTTTGGTTACATTTCCTGGGTTCTATGTTTCCCGGGTTCTACCAGCAAAACCCAACAGGTTTTTCAAGAGCTCAGGTATTTCACGTCCTCCCAGATCCTGTAGCTCAATTCACCACAATTTTAAAAAAATAATTTGTATTTCTTTCCTGAATAAATTGTACTTTTATTGATCAAATATGATAATTTTATGTCCAACCCAATTACACATAATGCATTTTCCATCCTTACAAGAAAAGGAGAGGGACTTTCAATATGTAAAAAATACTATCCCCACCTCCCCCCAATCTCCATGGCTTCAAATTTCCTCTAAATACAGTACAACTGTACTGGTTACATTTAGCCACTGAGTTGGAGGAAGTTTCCAACTGTTTTGTCTAGCAATTGTTCTGAGGACAAAACTCTTCTGGTGATGAAAGAGTCACTAGGCAGTGGTTCTCAACCTGTGGGTCCCCAGATGTTTTGGCCTCCAACTCCCAGAAATCCTAACAGCTGGTAAATTGACTGGGATTTCTGGGAGTTGTAGGCCAAAACATCTGGGGACCCACAGATTGAGAACCACTGCACTAGAGCAACAAAAAGTCAACTGAAGCCCGTTCCACACAGCTGAATCAAATACCACATTATCTGCTTTGAACTGGAATATATGGCAGCGTCGAGACTGATAACCCAGTTCAAAGCAGATATTGTAGGATTTTCTGCCTTGATATTCTGGGTTATATGGCTGTGTGGATGGGCCCTGAGGTTGCTACAGCTCAACTGCAAATGAGTATCAATTCCTGACAGGGATGGGTCTACAAAGGTAGAAAAGTTGGATGGATGAAACACTTCTATCGTTAATTGTAGGAAAACAGAAAATGTAAATATTCAAAAACAGTGAAAACGGATAAGCAGCGGTACTAGTGATTTTGCTAACGTTGGCAGCTCTGTCTTACCACCCAAAAAGTATCTGTCAAGGAGAGCAGGAAGTAATAAGACAGAGGTAAAATGCCTAATTAAAAGTCCTAGATCCTAGAAGAGGATTTAAAGGAAACACAAGGAGTAGCGACATTATAATTCTCTAGTATACTAAGTCTAGCCTACTTCAAATTGCAAGCTCCCATCAAGTTTACTATGAGCATGCATGACCCTGAATTGCTTTTGAGCACTCCAAAATTCAGAAGGTGAGAAGCTAGTGTTGATCAATATTAATACTGTCAATGTTGCCTTTTACTATCAAAAGCTGCAGCAAATTTATCTGCAGTGAGGGACAGACGAAAGCAGAGCCCTGAAATCTCATCTATTCTACACAATACAGGCATTCCATGTGAAAAAACATGCATGGGCACTGGGAAAAGGGCACACTACCAAGGGGAATGCTACTCTACTTGTTTTCGGTCACTTGGTCCTCCAGTCCTTCGTCGTTAGGAACAAGAGGAAAACAACTGCTGAAATGACTTATTATCAACAGTCCACCCAAAAAAACCTAAATGTGGAATTGTTCACCTGCTGGTTCAAACACAAAGCACAAAGAGCATCAAGGCCAAAATGGAACAATTCTTGCACCTGAGCTGCATCTAGATTGGTATGCTATATATGATACTTAAATGATGTTCATGTGGTTTTGTACCTCTGATCAATTGTTTCTCATGAAATGAGGAGTAGACCCAGATCCCAGAACAAAAGAGCTCTTTTGGGGGGAAAAGGTTACTAGGCTGAAGAAAATGGAAACCTGCCTCATATTATGTGAGATCACTGGTCTTCCGAGCCCAGTTTTGGTAGTAACAGTCCTGCGGCAAGATTTTTTTTCTAATCCTACCTGGTGATCTAGCTACTAATCAGGTCTCATCTTGCTTACCTTCTGAAACCAGATGAGATCAACTGTGCGCACAATGGTATGATAGAGAAGTTTGGCACACACAAAGCAGCATCTCAGGGATTTTGGAATCACAATTTTTGGCCTTTTTTAGAACAGGCAGAGACAGAGGAATATCTCAAGGAAGACATAATGTGGTTGGGCTGCACAACAAATGGTGCTGTGCCAATGCAAGCCAAGAAACACAAAGGGATGTGGATTGGAAGATTACTAAATCTGACAGGTTGAAATGGATGGGGACTGTCTCTAAGGACGAGATCCTCAGATTTACCTGTTTTGCCCTAACACTATAGAAAATGAAATATGTTGTATGGGAACGGGTTGGCCTGAATCAAGTGATAATGGCAGAAGGAACCAGGATGAGAACTGTGTTTCAACATCCTGGAACCCTGTTCCAGAATAAGATCAGCAGTTCTGAAAACAACTAGAAATAGCCCCCACACCATTCTGGCTTAATGGACATTAGGAAATCTCAGAATCCAAAGCATACACCAAATGAAAGGAGTCTTCCCCGAACGTAGGCAGCCTCCTGACTCCCTTTTTACTGTAACACTCTAGAGCAATGGGAGATGACATCTCTCCGCATGCAAACTGGTGAAGGGACCAAACGAAACCGCCAGGCAGAGGAGGACAAAACCTCAGGAGGCTTAAAAAGAGATATCAAAGTGAGAACCATTTCTTGGATTCTGAGATGAAGGGAAAGAAGAACACACACAGCATGTCAATTTCTTGGGAGTGAAACCAGAATGTGACTCACGCTATTCATGTTATGACTAAACCAACAAATATCAACGTTTCTCCTGTCGAGCACAGTAATAAGCACACTTTTAATGGATGGATTTGAAAGGAGGGGAGAGAGGGCAGATATGTACAACTATACGGACAGACGAAGGAGCCCAGCCACTTTAGCTTTTCACTGCTTCCCGCTCTTTGTTTTCAGCGTCTTCTGGGTATGCGTGCCAGGTCAGTCTCTCTTCATAAAATGCTATCACAATTTGAGGGCACTTCACATTGGCTTCTTTCGCTAGAACCAGGTCAGCCTCATCTGTGTCTTTCCTGAAGAAGAAAGAAAGAACAACAAAAGAAGGACTGGTCAATGCCTGAGCAGGAAGGTCATTCCACTGAATGTGGTGCAACATGAATGGAAGTTACGTTCTGGGCTCCTATAACCCCACTGAAGACAGCAGCCATGACTGGAGGACAGTACAGACACAAGCATTGTAAGGGAAAAACTACCCTGAAATATACAGCAGAGCATCCAAAAGCAAACAGGATACAAAAGTTGAGCATTCAGCTCATTAGTGAGCAGAGCGTGAAGTGCCGTGTGATGTGGCTGTAAAAAATTAAGAGCTTAAGAGGCAAACATGCAGAGTCCAATCTTTAAAAAACCACAAAAGGGTTATTTACAATAATAAGAAATAACTGCATTTATTGATAATTAAGAACTGGGTCTGAGCTACTCTGAGCCATCTCTTCTAAGGTTTCAAGAGAAGGAAGAACTCAATTGCTACATCTCTCCTGGCACACAAGGAGAGAGAGAGAGAGCTCAAAGAACACAGCACACATTTTCTATAATAGAGATGTGTAAGGCAGAAGGCAGATTCAAAAAGGCTTGCAGTAGAAAAATATCCATTTTAAACAACCAATCAGAATGAGAGCAGAAACAGAGGAGAGAAGAAATAGATACATTCCCAACTGTCATACAGGAGACATGGGGGAAGGGAAACTCTTAGTCTATACTAAGCTAACTAAACTTTTCCTCACTGAGGACTTGAGACTTGGGTAGCATACCTCATTTAAGATGCCCATTACATTGGGATCAGTATAGAAGGCAAAGTTGTTCAGTCCCTACAGGTGATATATATTTTTGATTTTTTAAAAAAGGGGAATAAGAGTGTCTAGTTGCAACTTATTTTCTTCTGATGACACAGATCATTAATGTTGTTGATGCCTTCCCTTTCCTCCCAAACCAGCTCTCAAAGCCATTTTCAAATTAAAATAAAGGCAAACATTATTAAATAAACATACAAAAAAGCAAACTTGAACAAAGCTATCAAAACATTTATAAACAAGTTAAAACATGCAATTAACAGTGATTAAAATTTGTTTTAAAACAGTGCAATTAAAAGAGTACAGTTGATTCCTTTTCTTCCAAAACCTTCCACTCTCAAACATGTTTTGATTTTTTTAAAAGTATTTACTTGTCCACAGAAAGACAGCATTATAACCCCCTCCATTCTTTGTGGTTTTTCAGGTAAAACAATATTTAATCAGTTAATTGGTTTTAGATCAAAGGCTTTAAAAATGTTAATTGCCTACAATCTGCCTCCAATTCAGAAAGCAGCAGAATTGTATAACACATTTTTTTATGGCAAGCACTTTTAAAATCGGCAGTTTTAACTTACCATATACAAATTTAAATCAATGTATTAGTCATCAAGTATCTCAGTCAAATTACAAATTATTTTGCATGACTGAATGTCTACAATTTCTTTAACTTAGAAGACAGGAAGTCATGCAAAATGATTTGTAATTTGACTGTCTACTAGCACAATATTTGGCTCCCACTCTTGCCTCCAGGGACAAACCAAGAATGGGCAACTTGGAAGTCCCTGAACAGATTCAGAAGTGAAGTGAGCAGATCAAAAGACAACCTGGCAAAATTGAACTACCTAGAACAGTGGTTATCAACCTTTGGGTCCCCAGATGTTTTCAACTCCCAGAAATCCCAACAGCTGGTAAACTTGCTAGGATTTCTGGGAGTTGGAGGCCAAAACACCTCCACAGGTTGAGAACCACTGACCTAGAAGAATCCTTCACTTTGTGTGACTGTGGAGCAGAACAAACAACTCTGCACCTGTATGCTTGTCCACAATGCCCTGCCTCATTTACAGAGAATTATTTAAAGCTACAGACAGTGTGGTCGCTGTTGCCTGGTTTTGGTCAAAAATTATTTAGCCACTTGTGCGCCTATTTTTATCAGTTTTATACGTATGTATGCAATGCTTTTGACATGAAATAAATAACCCTTTGATAAACTATAGCACAGAGATGGGAATCATGTAGTACTTCAGATATGGTTGAACTACAACTCCCATCAGTTCTACTTAGAATAGTCAATAGTGAGCAATTATATAAGAGTTACAGTTCAACAACATGACCGCATGATTCCCAATCTGCTACACAGTGAACCCGAGGTATCTGTTAAGGTTTGATTCCAGGGCCACCTGTGGATACCAAAATCTGTGGCTGCTCAAATCCTGTTAAACGCAATGGTGTAATAAAATGTTGTCCCTTGCATTAAACTGCAAAATTCAAGTTGGCTTTTTTAAATATTTTCAAACTGTGGATGTTGGACTCAGTGGATGCAGAATCCATGGATACAGGAGGCTGACTGTATATAAATGTGTGTTATGGGTTCATAGGGAATCTTCAAAACTGTTGAGGTAGTATACACAATCCAATGATGTACACCCCTTTGCTAACACCATTTTCTTTCATTGTTCTTTGGGGAGGACTGATTGAAAGGGAGATGGACTCTATGTATGTGTCGTACACACAGACCCACACATAAACATTTGTTCACCTCTCACGAAGCCTCATATCTTCCATTCTGATGTCTTATGAAGAACAAATGCATTCAATGGAGAAACAACACAGAAAAATGAACAACTATGAATAATTGTGCATTGTAATTGCTTATTGGTAATTTATGGATAATGTGTTAAGTCAATTGTTATATGTTGTATGGAACCACTGCTGTTTCTACTGTTTCTACTGTTTGTGAACCGCTGTGAGTCGCCTTCGGGCTTGAGATACAGCGGTATATAAGCAAAGTAAATAAATAAATAAATAAATAAATAAATAAATAAACTAGGCAAAGTGGGAAAAACTGGATTAACCCAACCTTACCTTTTGTATTAAATAGTAATATACAAAGACTAAAAGGAAAGGAGGGAGAAAATAGCATCTTAGCCAATACTCTGCAACCAGAACCAAGATGGAGGTTACCCTAGATGTCCACCTAAATATGTTTTCTATGCTTCATTTTAGGCTTAAGAGAGTTGGGGTATGAAACACCAGGCATATCAAGAATGGGTGATGGGGTAACAGCAAAACAAAACCTCAGGCAACTCACTGGCTTGATCTGCATTTGCAACTTCCACACCCAATGGAGAGGGTGCCCTTGACTTGGCTTCTTAAAACTACAGCGCCCACTTCTAGACCTATCTGATCATACAACAGTTACCTGTACAGACAATACAGCACATATTAGGGCTGCAAAATCAATCAACCAATTAATTAATGGCATCAATCAACTGGAAGTATCACTACAAATTAACATTGATCTGCCATTACCAAAGCCAATTAAAAAGACAGTGCAATAAGGAAATGCTTTGGGACCAGAACTCTTCAGCTGGGGGCCATTTTACAGACCTCTGTGCCACACTGACTCCAACCTGTACTAAACCTGACAAAAGAAAGGCAATTGTAGCTGGGGTTTACGCTTGCTTAATATACTGTATGTGTCCATATTGCCAAGTTTATGCATTTGACAAAAAAAGATAATATTTAAACTGCCTGTTCTTACAACAAGGAACATTAACTATTGCTTATTAAGTATAAGCCGTAAAAGAGCTTCATAACAGAATCTGTGACATCCATTGGGCTTACTCCTGAGCAAAGGCAAGTGCAACTTTAACACAATTATTACTGGGGGGGACGGGGGGGACTAAACAGTAGTGGCTGCATTTTATGAATAACAAGCACAGCACTATGATAATTGGATAGATAATTAAAAAGTGATAAGAGTAATTCAAATTGGTCGAGCCAAACTCCACAATCAGCTTGTTGTTTTTACAAGAAAGATTACTCTCTCTATCTTGAAAAAGATTAGATTTTTCTGAGTGGTTTGTGCACGAAACCAAGGGTGGTGCAGGGGATCCTTTTTATTGTGAATCAGCAAGGTATGGAATAAAATCTAAACCACGAACAAGCCACATTTTCAGAAATTCCAATCCCATTTGTAAAACCGCTGTAATAGCAGCCTGCCTCAAAGCGTGATGACTATTGTAGTAAGCTCTGTAAAGAAGCATAGCCATTAAAAATAGTGCATGTGAAATGCAATCATGCTAATCTGGAGGGCAGTCGCCTCCATGCATGGATTGCTTGCTCTTCAGAATCCTGGACATTAAGCAGCAACCCATCACTAAATCTCCTTGTGATGCATTACCCAGTGGCTTCATTTATGCAGCCATTGTTTCACAGCAAATATAACCTAGGTGATATGAACTATGGCCCCTTCTACACCACCATATAAAATCCAAATTATCTGCTTTGAACTGGATTATATGGCAGTGCAGGCGCATGTAATCCAGTTCAAATCAGATAATGTGGATTATTGGATTTGATAATTTGGATTATATGGCAGTGTATTTATTTAATTTTAATGTTACTAGAATTGTATGTATTTTAAGGCATTGAATAGTTGCCATATGTAAGCCGCCTTGAGTCCTCCCTGGGATAGCGAAAGGTGGGGTATAAATAGGGTAAATAAATAAAAACATGGATTTACCCTATTTATACCCCACCTTTCTCTATTCTGAAGGGGACTCAAGGCGGCTAACATATAGGCAATTATTCAATGCCTTATAAAACACATAAAATTCCAGTAATATTAAAATTAAATAAAAATTAATACATATGAAGCATTTAAAACATTGAAAAACATTATATTCAATTTTTTTTTGTCGTGTCAGGAATGACTCCTGGTGTGAGAGAACTGGCCGTCTGCAAGGACGTTGCCCAAGGGACGCCTGGATGATTTTGATGTTTTTATCATCCTTGTGGGAGGCTTCTCTCATGTCCGTGCATGAGGAGCTGGAGCTGATAGAGGGAGCTCATCTGCCTCTCCCTGGATTCGAACCTGCGACCTGTCGGTCTCCAGTCCTGCCGGCACAGGGGTTTTACCCACTGCACCACCGGGGGCTCCATTATATTCAAATACAAATCATGTAATCCATAATCATAGTCCAAAGATGTTCCGTAGTCATTGCACATAATCTGTTATTTGCACTGCACTATTCTCCAGAGGCCTGATTCCAAAGCCAAGTTTTTATTATATTGTTGAAGGCTTTCATGGCTGGAATCACTGGGTTGTTGTTGGTTTTTTCAGGCTATATGGCCATGTTCTAGAGGCATTCTCTCCTGATGTTTCACCTGCATCTATGGCAAGCATCCTCAGAGCTAGTGAGGTTTTTATTTTCCCTCTGAAGGCTAGGAGGGAGGGGGCTGATCTAATGTTGCTGTATTAGTAGGTGTTGAAGGGGCCTATAAAACTATCAGGCTTGATAGAATATTTGCTTTGCCAAAATATTCCCCAGCGCCAGTGCTCTTCTCTCACAAACCATGGCATTTGGTTATACAGCAAATGAACTCGGGCGAGCCCCACGTGAAGCCTTGTGTCTTTCCTCCCCGTTCCCTCCAATCCTTTTGCCAAAAGGCTGTGCACAGATGGGTCCCTTCCCTGCTGCCTCCCTTCACTCTGCCATCCATCTCAGCCCAGACAGTCGGAGAGAAAGCAGAGGAAGACAAGGGCTTATTTTCCTCTGCTGCATTGCCAAGCCAGAGCAGACAACACAAGGGCTCTCCCAGGATGGAAACCTAGTGGGGGCGAGAGGGAGGGAGGGCACAAACTGCAGCTCCCTTGAACACAGCTGTGCTATAACCTCTGCCAGGCAGATACGCCAGGCTCAGAGCTCTTTGTCTCGGCCTCACGCTCCCTCTCTCTCTCTCAGTTGTGGGAGGAGGGGCAGCCTCTGCAATATGCAGCACTGCCTCCTCTCTCTGTGTCCACAGAGAGGCTTCCAACTGAGATAAGCCCAGGAGCAAAAACAAGAGGCAAGTCAAAACCTTTCCAGATGGATTTCCTGTGCTCTCCCTGCATTTGGGCGGGGAAAGTGGGGGGGTGATGGGGTTCAGGAGATGGCGGCTTGTGTTGCTGCAGGGGGAAAGCCACAAGCAGGAACTTGAGAGCATTTTCATAGCAACACCCATGTGAAAGAGAACAAAGGGCCCTTCCACACAGCCAGACTATCATGGCATAAAATCCCACATTATCTGAACTGGAATATACGGCAGTGTGGACTCAGATAATCCAGTTCAAAGCAAATATTCCGGGATTACAGGGCTGTGTGGAAGGGCCCAAAGAGGAAACCATCCTTGGGTCATTTAAGCATGGAGTCTAGAGAGCAGAGACCCAGACAATGGCCTTGCCTCCTTGACACAGTATTTGGGGAGCGGAGCAAAAAAGGCACACTCACCATTTCATTAGGAACATCAAATCTCCACAGGAGTCTGTGGCTCCGATGATTTTTTCCGGCTCCAGTCCTCTTTCAAAGCCCCTGGCAATATCGGTGCTCTGGTGGAAAAAGAGAAAAAAAGAGAGAAATGAGAGTTAAAGAAAGGCACATTCCCCTCTTTCCATGTCTCCCCCCCTCTTCCTGAGTTATTTGTGAGCTTCCTTCAACCATGAAGAGAAGGGTTTCAAAAGGGCACCCAAGAAACCAGGTGATAAACAGATGCTGCACAAGGCTTGGTGGTAATTAGGAGAGGCAGGCCTTCCCAGCTCTCCTGCCTGGATTGTTGCTATTATTATTAATAATAATAATGGTAATTAGAAAACATTGATTCAATGTTAGAGAGGGGGAGAGAGTGGGGGAAGAGGATCGCCATGAAGATGGGTGAGCAAAACAAGGGGGGGGGGGTTGCAGCCATCCTCTTGCCTTCGCAGCTGCAGCCGCAGCCGCAGCAGCAGCAGCCATTCGTGATTTCCAGAGCTCCCCATCCCTGCTCCGCTTCCCCCGCTCCAGAGCGCAACACCTCTATGGGATCCCACGCGGTCCTGGAGGTCTTTGTGCCGGTGCCCGCCACCGCCGCCGCCGATGGGTGTGTCCCATTCAAGCGGGGCCTGGGAGGGGCTGGGCCTTCTTTTTGGGGGGTGGGTGGGGAGGGGATAGTCCAGAGCTGGAAGCAAGGAAGGGAGGAAGGAAGCGCCGCCGGGGCCCCAGGCAAGGGTGGGTCAGCTCCCTCTCTGCACATACCATCTGAAAGGCTGGTAACAGCTTTCAGTCGCTGCAAGCCTGGAGCGAGTGCCTTCTCCCTTGCTCTGCAAGCAGCAGCCCCACCGCCACGCGCGACTCTACCCAGATCCACACACATTTGTGGCTCACACTGATACTGTCTACTAGCTAGCAGCAGATGCGGCTAGGCAGACCAGGCGCCGCTTCATCCAGGCACATTATTTCTTGCTTCTCCAAAGACAGACAATCGCTCTCTTCCTCCTCTTTTGTTATTATTATTTTACATATGTCTTGGGCGTGTGTTCAGTGGGAGAATTACAGGTTGCAACTGAGCTGAGCCCACAAAAGACATTAACAACATCAAATAGAATGGCCACAGTCATTCAGTCATTCAGATTCTCCATAATGCAAAAGCAAGCCCATGATAGGATGCTTGGCAACTTCCTGGTCAGGGCTGACTTTGGGCCCTTCCAGACAGGCCTTGTATCCCAGGATCTGTATATCCCAGATTATCTGGCAGTGTGGACTCATATAATCCAGTTTAAAGCAGAAAACCTAGGATCAAATCCTGGGATTTACGGCCTGCCTGGAAGAGCCCTTCACCCCACTTCTACCTCTGACTAGAGCGGGAAACCTTTTCCTCAAAATTGATTTCACAACAACAGGAAAAACTCAGCCATTATCAGGACCTCAAAATCGAACTGCAAAGGCTCTGGCATAAACCAGTACAGGTGGTCCCAGTGGTCATTGGCGCACTGGGTGCAATGCCAAAAGATGTCAGCCGGCATTTGGAAACAATAAACATTGACAAAATCATGATCTGTCAACTGCAAAAGGCCACCTTACATGGATCTCCGCACATCATTCGAAAATACATCACAGTCCTAGACAACTTGTGATTTTGTGATACAAAATCCAGCATATAGATCTCATTTGCTGTGACATACTGTGTTTTTGTGTCAGTAAAATGTTAATAATTATAATAATTATAATAACAACAACAACAACAGTGTGAATTTTCGATGTTGCAATCCCAGGCAACAGCAGGATTGAAGAGAAACAACTGGAAAAGCTAACACGATATAAGGATTTAAAGATCGAACTGCAAAGACTCTGGCACAAGCCAGTCAAGGTGGTCCCAGTGGTGATTGGCACACTGGATGCAGTGCCTAAGTCCTTGGCCTGCACTTAAACACAATCGGCGCTGGCAAGATTACCATCTGCCAGCCCAGGCTATTGAAAGTTGCAACAGGCTAGCAGCAATGGTGCACTAGAACCTTTGCAAGAAGTATGACCTACCCTGCAGTACAACCTGGGATGAGCACAAGGCTATAATAAAGAAGCAAAAATACTCTGGGATTTTAGAATCCAAACAGGCTAACGTCTGCCACATAACACACGAGATATAACGGTTGTGGAAAAGAAACATGTTTTTGTTATAAACATTGCAGTACCAGTAGAGGACAGAGAGGTCGAAAAGATCACAAAGGAATTCTGCTGTCCATAGATGTCTGGGTCGCTTGCTAGCCAAAATAATATTATGTAAAGGTAAAGGTTTTCCCCTATCACGAAGTGCAGCCGTGTCCGACTCTGGGATGTGGTGCTCATCTCCATTTCTAAGCCGAAGAACTAAGAAATGTCCATAGATGTCTCCAAGATCATGTGGCCGGCATGACTGCATGGAGCACCGTTACCTTCCCGCCGGAGCGGTACCTATTGATCCACTCACATTTGTATGTTTTCGAACTGCTAGGTTGGCAGAAGCTAGAGCTGACAGTGGAAGCTCATGCCGCTCTCCGGATTCGAACCTGCGACCTTTCGGTCAACAAGCTCAGCAGCTCAGCATACATTTCTGTAGATGCTGTGATCTATAAAAAATATCTGTAGATATTTTATAGATTTTAACAGAATTATTTTAATACTAATGATTTTTAATTCTGTTTTTGGTACTGTTCCATTATCCAGGTGGAGGTCACTAGGGGACACTAGAGAGAGGATAGTCCATTTTATAGGAGGGAGTTGAAGGAGGAAAACCATTTCTCCATTTTTCTGTTATTTCCCTCCCCCCATATCGTAAACATCCACAATGGAGACTTTTTTTTTGGGGGGGGGGTTAACAGGAGGAAATGGTTTAACTCAGTCATGGGCAGAGTTTGGCCCTCCAGGTGTTTTGGAGTTCAACTCCCACAATTCATAACAACCAGTAGGCTGTTAGGAATTTTTTTATTTTTTTATTTATTTCATTTACTTATACCCCGCCCTTCTCACCCCTTCTTTTATTTTCCTTCTGACGTTTCTGTGCTCCRCGAGGCACAGAAAAATTGTAGGAGTTTAAGTCCAAAGCACCTGGAGGGGCTAAACTTTGCCCATGCCTGGTTTAATGCCTTCAACCCACCCTCCAGCCCAATAAAATGGACTAGCCTTGTCTCCAGTGCTCCCAACGACCTCCAACCAGATGATAAAACAGTACCCTGTTTTAATATTTGTGTATTTTAAGTATATTTGAAACTGCTGAGCTGCTGAACTTGCTGATTGAAAGGCTGGCGGTTCGAATCCGGGGAGTGGGGTGGACTCCCGCTGTTAGCCCCAGCTTTTGCCAACCTACCAGTTTGAAAACATGTAATTGTGAGTAGATGAATAGGTACTGTTTTGGCGGAAACGTAATGGTGCTCCATGCAGTCATGCCGGTCACATGATCTTGGAGACATCTATGGACAATGTTAGTCCTTCAGCTTAGAAATGGAGATGAGCACCACCCTCCAGAGTCGGCCACGATTACACTTAACTCCAAGGGAAACCTTTACCTTTACTTTACGATATTTTAAGTTGTATTGAAATTCTTATAGTGTAAGGTTTGAGTTTCCTTGTGAAGAGAAAAAGTGGGATAAAAATAAAAATAATACTAATCTCCTGTTGCTGTGATTTCCTATATTCCCTTTAAAAATGAATCATAGTGTGGAATACCATAAGACTATGGCTTTAATAGCTGACAATCACCCACAGATAGATCAGTGCATCAGACGAAGCTACACATAATAACATATATTTTACAGATGGACTTGAACCAATCACATGACAAGCATGGGTTGGATATGTAATTTCATGTCCCAGCACCAAGAGTCTGGGTTGGTGGAAATGCAAGGCAGGGCCTTCTCTTTGACAACAGCCTTACTTCCCAGTTTCCTCTCCACCATTACATTCCTAGCAGGATAAGCAAAGCATGTGGCTTCAAGTCATTTCTGATATGAGCAGGTTCTGTTCTCTGATGTTGTAATGAAATCTGTGCTGTTAATTTGGTTTGTTATTTTTAATTTGTCTTATATGTTCTTTCTAGATCTGGTGTGAGCCAAAAGGTAAGGACTAAATACTTTTATTAAAAAATTATTTAATATAAAAAATAACACCCAAAAGGTCATGGAGTGAAGGAAAGTAAACTAGTCATTTCTGTCCAATCAAACTGAGTTCAACTCCAGAAAGTCTAATGAAACCATCTTCATTTAAATACTCTCTTTATGCTTTAAATTTTATGTCCTTCCCCTGTGTTGCATATGATTTGTAGATTTGTATTTAAAAACACACTATAGTTCATTAGAACTGCCAGTGTCCTGCAACAAAATAAATAAAACACATCAAGAAGCACAGTAAAACAACAATAGTTCAAGAGCTCAGCCAACGTTTTGCTTTAACCACTGTTATACTGTACTCTGGCAGATACTGTGGATCTTCAATCTGGCACAAACACACACACACCTTTCCACAGATCTCCTTGTGTTCTTTTCCTAAAAAGCATCAAATGCAGCATCTACAACCAATCATGTGTGTACCAGTTGTGTATGCAGCTTGCCAGCCCGAGGACGTATCAGTAGTTGCTCTCCTACCACAAAAATCGCCTCTCTCAGAAATGTAAACACTGGAGCTGGAAATGAAGTGTCAGTAGTTGAATCAGGCTGCTACATGACTTGCACAAGATATTTGGTGTTTGCCAGCAATCCTTTAAAACAAATAAGGATACTTCAGCAGCTATCACACACCCTGGAGATCAGCAAAAGGGCAGATTAGAACCCTAAATAACATGTGTTCATCACATTTGTTTGTGCCGTGCTCTCCCGCTAAAGGCCCCAAGGCAACAGATGTCTCTACCTTACTTTAATCTCCCTGCAACCCTGAGAAATAAACTGGATTAAGAGTAATAGAGTAACTTGTACAAGCTATCTAATGAACTTTATAGAACCTTGGTATCCAGTCCACCATACTGACCTCCATAGGTGTGAGATGAAGGGGAGCGCTGCCAAAATGGCTTTTCACCTATTATTCTTTCTCCTACATCTAAAACTGATTC